GTGCAAACAGAATGAATGAGGATTTGGGTTCAGACTCAGGCTCCTGCTCCTTTGAAGACGTTATTCCCTCAGTCTAGTACCTTTGATTGCTGCTGTACAAAGGGGAGGTTTGGAGCGAGTGTGTGTGTGTGCGTGTGTGTGTGTGGTGGGGGCAGACGAAGAGAGAGTGTCGGAAAGATTATATTACAAAGAGTGAAACAGGGAAACAAATTGTAATGTGGAACATCAAAGTGACACGGCAGAGTGGGTTCCATATTATTAACCCTGCAACCTTTCCTTTTGTTATACCCACCAGTGACTCATTAGACAGGTCATTGGCTCACAGGCTGATGTCAATATTTCATCGACTGTATGCATAATTTGACAGTTAAATCAGAGCAGCACTTTGAAATGAAAAAGGAACTATTATATATATAAAATGTGACCTCAGAAAGAGGGAGAGGGGAACAGACACTTCACAGCGACACTTCTGATGGAGCAGAAATGGAAAGATCAAATCCTTACCTCAAGGGGAACTTTGGTATTTCTTAACCTATATTCTATTTTCCATGTTTTTGACTAATGAGGACAACAATTTTTTGAAATTGTTTCTTTATTGAGCGACAACTCTGCAGCCAGCAGTCGCAAAAACGGCTGCAATGTTATCATGCCGGGCGATTCCGCACCATCAATGTATGTCCACTAAAAGTGTTGCTACTTACAGGCTCAAAATGTGTATTTTTAATTATAGGAAAGGACCCTAAAGAACTGTAAAACATTGTTGTTAACCTTTCACTTGATCCGGTCTGTTTGTTATTGTGTCATGTATGACTTGTTGCCGCAGCCCCTCTCTCAATTTCTCACCCATGTTTACAGCGTCCTCCGGTAACAAGTCACACACGACACAATTACAAGCAGACCGGATCAATCGAAAGGGAAACAAATATATTCTAGTTCTCTGTAGGGTCCTTTCCATAATGTTGGCAGACACTTATAATAACAATCTGAGCATTTATGTGGCAAAAACAAGCACTTTGAGTGGACACATCGATGCAGTATTGCCCACTATGATAACAGTTGTTCTAGCTCAATAGGCTATTGGACCAATTAAAAAAATGGTTGTCTCCATTAGTCACTTAGACACAAAAACATGGGAAAATAGGGTCAAGGTTAGAAAATACCGACGTTACCCTTCATAAGAAGTCCTGCTATTCTCTCTCTTTTTAATCCCTCAGTCTCTCCGTGTGTGCTTCTCTCTCTTGCGCTCCGTAAAGTGTGTCTTCCACTGGTTCATCTCTAGTTAACGTTATACCGGTGGCGCGTGCACATCAAGAAAAATGACAATGGAATGAAACCATGATTTTCAAAGGGGACATAACTGAGAGTGTTACGAACAGTGTCTCTGCAGCTCCCCGTTGGTATAAGACATTACACTATATCTCTGTCAGTGCAATATGGCTCTCATTTAGTACAACGCTATCTAGTTGCAAGTAATACTACAAAGTAATTCATATTCTAAGCCTAGGCGACAGAAAACACTCTAAGTGGTAGCATTTACTAGACAAGAACAAAAAGCCACGTCCAACTCGATGTCGGCTTTATTACGAATTGTGGACCAGAGGCGCAGATTTGAGGGAGGGCTCAGAGTTCACTTAAAGGGGTCTTAAAGGAGAACCCCCTTAAAGGTCATTCTGTCTTCACATGCCTCTGGCTTTCATGCGTTCGTTAAGTCTCGTCTAGGTTTTGCAATCCTTTTTCTGATTGAGTTTTTATTTTTAATTTGAGTAGATGTGTATACTTTTCATATCTCTGTCCTCTGTCCATCAAAGTTCAGAAAAATATCTGTGAGCATATATATATACACACACACACACACACACACACACACACACACACACACACACATTTAAATGCTATATTTATCTGCCTCAACTGAGCAGCAGCCACACGGACCTTACAGCAAAGACAAAAGTCTCTCACGTGAAACAAACCCAAAATAAAGCACAGCATTAGTTCACAAACTGTGCTGGCTGATTAGAATCAACTATGGCTCGTAATGTCCAATTATATTCATGAAGATGTATAACACGGCCAACAGCAAAGCCGACTGATCGTAATATATTTTTGACGCAAGAGGTTTGGAAAAAATGGCATTTTTCATAGTGAAGTTGTGCACAGGTTATAAGAATCCCCCCGAAGAGAAGAGACTTTTTTCCCCAATAAATGGTCAATGAATTCCATCATCATTGATTGCATGGTTTACAGTGACCTTTGTGTGCATCCAAGCAAAAAATAAGATGCTGAAGAAGGAATCGAAAGATGAACTTAAATTGAAATGTCCACCGATGCTAAGTATAACACATGGCTTTTTTTTGGTTCATGCCCCTTCGGAAATTGTTGCAATAATTGGATTTCAAAACATCACATGATCTGACACAGTATGGTGGCAATGAAACCCATTTTCCATTAAGACCTCTAAACCCATGTAACATGAAGACATCACGTTCAGTGCACCATTATAACCCCCCCCTCCCTCTCTTTTTTCCTCTCTCCATACCTCTTTCATTATTTCCCCCCACTATCTGTCTCTCCATCTTTTTGCTTCGTTGGGCCTGCCATGCTATTAATCTCACCAACAGATTCAGTCTATTAATTAGTCCACGTCCTCCATACTGCATGTAATAATCAAAAGGTAATAGAGATATTAGGAAGATAAGGACGTTTCTGCAGTCGATCACTTTTAATTAGCCTGAAGATTAGAAGATGGATTAGCTTCTGCCTGGCTGACGTCCAGACAGACAAGGTTTTTTTTTTCTTGTCACAAAAAGCTGGAGGACACAATTTCTGCAGCAAGTCTAATATGTCAGTTTGCAAAATAGATCTGTTCCTTCGTGTCTTATGAGACACTTCACAAACTGAAGGTGATAATGCATCCATGCCTCCAGACAAAACAAGTTTCCAGCTGACATTTCAGAATGAATATTATTCTTCTCAGACGTTTGTAACTTGCCTACAGCACGCATTAAGGTAATGTTAAAGTGTGTTGCTCTACTTCAAATGTATCTGCATTGCCATTTTATTTTAATGTTTGCGGTCGTACTGTGCTGTCGGTTTAACTAGATAATTGAGGAATTGTCTATACAGCATGTCAGTAGTTAATTGGAGGGTCCAGGGTGCACTAAACAGACAAGGAGAACAGACAGCGGTAATTACCAGCAGTGTGTTAAAGTCTGTGTGTGTGTGTGTGTGTGAGTGCTGAGCCTAAAAGGTAATTACACACTACACTTGAAATAAATAATACCAATTCCCGTCACTGCGTTTCCCTGCTGACACATGGAGTAGATTTTGTGTGATCTCATCCCTAATGTTGCAATTCTCGGGATACCATGCCGGACAAAAGACCACCTCCTTTCAAAGTTACTGGAGCTGACCTCTGCAGCATTCATGTATCTTGCTCTATAAAACATTTGCACCCTGTACTGTCGCTTCCTTGGGGCAAGGGGCTCATCCAGTTTAATGGTGGATGTTCCTGGACCATTCCCTGCAGACACGTTACTCACCCCAGCCCTGTCAGAGCAGTGCCTACGGGGCACATGTAATAAAGAGAATAGAAAATTGAACACAAGGCCACAGAGAACATCATTAAACCATTTTCTATTACAGTACTCAGTATAACAGGGAAAGAAAACACTGCTTCCAGAGCCACGGCTCCCGGTGGGATGCTCAGGTCTCTATGGTTTTACTGGTTAGGCAATTCTAGCCCCAACAAGGTTTTAAGACACCCTTTCTCAGCGGAAAATGTTGCCGGAGACCTTTTAACAATTTACTTCAGAGGCTGTAATACTCACCGAAAGTTGCTAATGGCTACACTGTACCGCTCTACAGCATTTATATTTCTTGCCAGAGCTCAGAATTTTTTGCAAAGGGTGAAAAAGGTGTATCTCTCTTACGTATGAACTTGCAAAATCGAATTTTGGTTGTGAGTGGAGCTGCAGAGTAGGGCTTTAGGGAAGCATGCATACTAACTCTGTCACGCCCGAGGGGCAGATTGGAGACTCAAACGCAGACACAGGAGACGAGGTGGAGTTTAAACTTAGGTATCTTTACTGGTCAAAACGGTCATAAACAAACTTGAAGCGCCTCCAACGGAGCGGGGAAAAAGATCCAAAGTAGGATGAGTGTAATCAGGGGAAACACACACACACAGACAGACACAGAAACACAGGAACACACACACAGAGACACGAGGAAGCTAACGGGATGTTACAAACTCAGTGTGGAGTTGAAAAGATGACGGAAGAAGTCTGTCAATATTTGGCCTAATAACATCGTAAGAAAGTGAAAACACAAGTTTTTTAAACTTTCATGAACTCCTGAACAATGTTCCTGCACTTCTTTGTTTAATTTGCATTCCTGAAGGCTGCGGTGTCAAACATCCTGCTTCACCTCTGTTCAGTTCACAGGGTCATGTTGTAGTTTTTCTTGACTACATTTATTTGTTCATTGTAATTAATAGTTATATGGCAGATTATTATTTGAAATACCAAACACATACACTGATAAATAAAACTCCCAGCAATGCATTGTGTAATTAAGATTAGGACCACCTTGCCCAATTACAAAAAAAAATGGCCCATTCTTAATTAATTACATATACTTTTGCTAATTAACTATTACTTTGTAATGGAACATATTTACAACAAACAATTCATAGTATATATATATATATATATATATATATATAGAAAAATGCAGGAACTCAAGCCAGAGCCTCAGGGCAATGTTTCTAAGACTAGAGCCAAAATCATCCACAAGAGGATGTTCTGACAGAGAGGATCAACATATATTTGGGCTGAACTGTCATGACGAATCAGTCATTCTGAAGGAAAACTATTTCTAAATTGAGATATATGCATGCTCATGCACCTCGAACACACACTGTAAGGTTCACTGACATTTGTTCTGCATTTGAATGATATTCATATTTGTGTATGTTTGGGCATGTGTGTGTTTGTGTGTAGTCTCAGATGAAGATGAAGTCTGCAGGCGTCGTGGATGGAGGCTTGTTCACAGAGAGCTATTGTAACATCTGCAATGCCCAGCTCATCTCCGAGTCCCAGCGCACCGCTCACTATGAGGTGAGTCCGTCTCTGCTTGTACAGGAAGGTTCCCACAAAACAAACAAACAAACTAAATGTTGCCACCATCACTGCTTGGACAAGCAGATTCCTGCACTGTACACTTCTTAAGGCATCTCAGCCTTATTTGTACCAATTTAGGGCTTGTGCCGTTCCAAGCAGCGCTCATCCATTATACATAGACTTAATGCAGCATGGTAATGCTCGTCACTTGCAAACAAACAAACACACACACACACACACTTTTTGTTTAAATGTATTCTACCTCTCAGCAGACTCTCTAAGAGTAATTTAATTATAGGCCATTCAATAATCAGCCCAGTGCATTATTTAACTAGGATGTGTCTCTGTGTGGTGGTGTGTGTGTGTGTGTGTACGCGTGCACACGTGCACTTGCGTGCATGTACTGCAGTGAGGTCCTCCTTGATTACAAGACCCAATTGGGATTAACAAGCAGACTAATGAGGACAAGACCCTTATCTGGGGAGAATTAAGCAACGACAACGGCCGTGTGTGTTTGTCTGATGCTTATCTACCAACCGACCTCCGTCTGACAGAAACACACCGCCTTGAGTTGTGCAGAGGAATGGGCAAGTTGAGTCAGTGCATTTCTTCAGTGTCACCCTCTATAACAGGTCTCTGTAGAGGTCGGTAGATCAAGGAGACATGGCAAGAAATAATTGAAATGCAAAGGAGTTTTTGTGTATTAGTTTCAATAGAGACCCAGAGACAACAACAACAACAGGCTAAAGAAAGGAGTGCTATCATGGGGGATGAATTATTGAGGAGCTCCGGGTTCTGGAGTCCTTCCCCTCTCCACTGGCAGCAACGCACCTCTTTCATAACTGCCGAAAACACCAGTGGAAATACTTACTATAGGTTACAACGGGTGGTAGTTGCTCGCTATAGCTGTAACTCCTCCAACTTGAGTTGATACTAAAAACAGAGGAAGAGACACAGTCCATTAGTTTAGGGTGCCCGTTGAGGGTCACTGCAGGGTAACCATGGTGACACAAGGTCCCGCTTTTAGCCCATACCCCAGAGCCATCGACTGCACATGACCATTTATACACCTACGAACACAAGCACACACTCACACAAGCGCTGACAAACTGAATTAAAGTAGTCTAACAAGTGAGGGGGCATGTGAGGTAGAGGGAGTGTGTCTGTGTGTGTGTGGGGGGCTTCTAGTCCCGGGGGCAGAGGATCCAATCTAAGCATTGGAGCTGCAAGTACAGTGTCTTGTCTCCCATTCGCTTTCTTTGTGTCCTGTTCAGCCATGATATCTATTTAAACTAAACAACTTAACTTGACCTAACTTAAGAACAACAAAACACAATTCCCCTAATCATGTGACCCACATGATTAGCAGAAACAGTGGAGTGATCCCCTCACAGGGATCCAGTTCTGGAAACAGTCATCTGAAGACATTTGACCCATTTAATCACGTCATTCCAAATTTTTACATTTTTCACCGGTGATGCTTTTGGTAACCACAATCTTGACTTGTATCTCTGCACTCTGTCGTGAATTTGACCGTATATGTGGCATTAAAGATACGATCTCTCTGACAGCGTCAACACTTGCTTCTGGCAAATTGCACCAGCAGTGGAATGTACAGATAATAATAGTTGTTATATGGTAGAAAGGAGTGAAGGTCACCCAGCATGTCAATAAAAAAAAGGATATGTATAGAGCAAGATAGCTGTGTCAACCTTGCAGTCAAACACACAGAGCTGTCTCAACACATACACGTGCACTAATCTTTACCCTCCAGTCTGTCCAGTGACTTCCATTGTTGGCCATTAAAGTGACAGCCAGCAGTTTCAAGGACAGCTTAGCGTCCTTTCTTATAACACACTACTGTACGTTTCTAATTATTACAGATAATAGAGATTGTAACAGAAAATACCACATTATTAAATTGGTAAGCGGTACAGATATTCACATACCTTCTTCCTTCCTGATACTTGACCTTGTGTATCGACCAATACAGGGAAGCAATCTGATACCAGTGTGTTAAAAAAAAAAAAAAAAAAAAATCTCTTCTCACCAGAAAAAAATGTTACAAGATTACATCTGAACGCATCATAATGTTACTCAATGATACATTATATGGTGATGTGATTGGTGCATTTTAGGATGCACTGGAGGCATTTTTGATACTGGTATCGACACAGCTCTAGTGAGCAGCACAAACACCCATCAACAGTACAGATACATACTTAATCTTCTCACCAAGGACTTTTAATATCATGCAGACTCATTGTTTTTTTTTACCAATATATTTATATCTTTATTTATTTTTTAGGGCACCAGGATATTATCGTTTCCCTTTCAATGTAATTTGAGCTTTCCAAATGATTGTCTCACTTCCTTTGGCGCTTTACGGGCCCCAGTGTGCAGGCCCTCATTATATTTAACTCCCAACCACTTCCCCCCTATCCCAACATCTTACTCAGGGCTCCCAGAGAGCTGAGGCTGGTCCTGGCCATTAGTCAACTAGCCAGGAGCAAACTGTCTGCTGACATCATCAGCTGAAACAGAGATAAAAAGCTTGGAGGGAGTAGCCAAGGTGGAGTGACAGTTATTGATTTTTTTTCCCCCACTTGGCTCACTTGATAAAATAAAACTCTGTTCATTGGCTGACACCGTTTCTCTCTCTGTTTCTGTCTCCCTCTCAGAGTAAGAAACATGCCAACAAGGTGCGTCTGTTCTACATGCTTCACCCTGAAGATGGAGGACCACCTTCTAAGAGACTGCGGCCAGATAACCCAGTATGCTCCCATGTGTGTTTCTGTGTCTGTGTTGCATAACATACAGTGTGAAGCTTTTAAGATTCATTCATGAACTAAATGACCTGTTTTGCAGTGTAATCACAAACTGAAGTATCTGATGGTGTTCGAGGAAAGACAATTATTTGCATGCGGAAATGTGTGAATTTGGAGCATGCGGAAAATGTATATAGATGACAAAAACCTGCCTCGGTCCAATCCTTTCCTGGGCCTGTCTACTCGCAGGCTTTGCCGTTGCAGCCAAATGCTCATGGGAATATTCGTTTGATCTGTTGTGTGCAGTTGTGCGCTATAGTTCTCCCAAAAGAGCTGCTGCCTTAGCTGTGGTGTTTGTGGCCAGATTTAGTGGAGGCAGACGCCACCAAGCAGCTCTATATCAGGCTATTGCAGGCTATGGCTAGGGACGTCCGTCAACATTACCAATGCCTGTGTGTCTGTCTGTGAGTGTGTGCTGTAGGTGGGCCATTGTGTTGTCTGTATATTTCTAAAACCCCGGCCTGCAATTTTAGCAAATGCTGAGCTTGCATTTGTGTCCACAGTGAATTGATGGGATTCTAACATGAAGCACAACTGATATTTAGGGGTTGATTCAATTTAGAATTTTTATTTGCGGGTCTTTGCGTATGTATGAAAAAGAAATGCGAACGTAATAGACTATTGTGAAGAGGGATTTTTACAATAGTCCGTTGTGTGCCCCATTTATCTGGGGTATCATGCCATAATACACACACACACATACACACATACACACACACAGACAGAATACATACAGTACACACTGTGAGGACACAGCTGGTGGAAAAATAAAGCTAACTGACAAATCTGTGCCAGAAAGAGGGAAGAGGTGGAGCGTCTCCAAATGCAGTGTAGCGCCACAGCCAAGACCCTGAGCCGGAGTGCAGGGCCAATTATCTCTGTACAGCAACGACCCTTCGTCCTCCACTGATGGAAAAAGATGAAATTCGTGGAAAAAATAAGAAACTTCAATGTTTGTAAATGTCCCCAATGTAAGTGATTTCCGGTGGCACTTGACGAATGAGCAATTTAAAGTTGAAACACCTGATGAATAATGTCTGCGGCAGCAAGCAAACATCTTCAAAGGAAACAGATTCAAGTCATTTTAGATTCCAGCAATAAGATCCAAGACGTGGACGTAATCACTGTGATGTCAGCCATTGGTTTGTGGACTGCCGTTTTAAAGTCTCCCGTTCGGCATTTTGGCTGTTGCCATCTTGTTTTTTTGTAACTGGATGTGACACAAGGGGGTGGAGCTAAGTACAACCAAACGCTGAAGAAGACATTTTTTGGGTGACCAAAATGTTACAATTAACTTTCATGAACTGAAAACACGCTGTGAAAGAGTTGAAGTTGTAAGAAACACAGACCACTCCCAGACCATAGTTTACCAAATGAACATCCTGCTGTATTGAAGAAGACTTGAAACTAGCAACTGAGACTATAAACTTATGTTTACAATGTTTACTGAGGTAATAAATCAAGTGGTTTATTTTCTCATGAACGTCTAACCTCTCAGACACTCAGTCCACCCCCCCCACTGGCTATTAGAAAGTTTAAGGCACGTCCGCATTGGCTCTACTTTTTAGAGCCGCAGGTCACCGCCTGGCAAGCGCATGAAGACAGATCTGGTTTGACAGTCTTTAATATCAGGAGCCAGAACAACCAGGTGGGGTAGGAGTTATTTGTTGTGGTCACATCTTTGCAGACCTAAACACAAGCACGCAAGCTGTTCGCAGTCATTTCATACTGCAAAACTGAAATGAACATTTGCTATTATATTTCTCACCGGTTGAACCCCTTTTTCTGGACTCAAGCTGTGCACTAAGATGTAAAGAGGTGATGCACGTGCACCAGACTGCAGACAATCAGGACATAGGGGCATGTCAAGGGCACATGGGTTTACAAACACACTCACTGTGGAAATATTCACACCTGCGTCTCCATCTGTCTCTCTAAGTGAATAAGACATGACTCAGCCCCTGCTGGCTTTCACCTCATGGGACACTACACACAAACAGACCGTGAGTGCGCGCACACACACACACACACACACACATGCTGTACTGTGAGCGCCACAGCTAGCAATTTGTTCATAACCTCTCATGCAGGGATGTGACATTGATTATCTGACAATGCTGGAAAAACTGATATAAGACGAACAGTTCTCCAGCGATGAAATACTCACCATACGATTTTCTTCTCTCAGCTCTTTCATCTTTTATTTTTTTATTTTTTCCCCGGGGGAAGATTTGCACGTCTTTTCTCTGCACTTCATCTCCGTGTATTTGCCCTTCTGTTCTCGTACTGATTGACACGGTGCAGTCCAATGGGAACAGTAGAAAAAGGATTTTTGCAGAGTGAATGAAGTCTGCCCATAAAATGCCATGCCTTGAGATGTGTGTGTAGGTGAACGTGTTTGTCACAGAACAAACACAGAGAAAGTAGGTCGTAAAGGTGCTCCCAGATAAAAGGGGAGAGAAATGTATCCATTTTTCTACCCAATTCTCCAACCTGCTCTCTCTCTGTCTGTGCCGTTTTCTACCTGCAGAAAGGGCAAGAGATAACAAAATACTTTTTTTTTTCCCCTCGACTTTTATTCTCCTCTAATGCTAAATTTGCACTGTCGGCCCTTTCAATTTACACTTTCAGCGCTTCTTCAAACTCCAAATGAGAGCGTCTGTTTCCCTGTGCTGCTCCATGTGTATATTTAGCAATGTTTCCCACAGCGCCTCGACACAGAGCAGGGGGAGAAGTAAGGAGGAGCAGAGAGAAAGAAAAACAGAAGGAGAGGAAGATTAACACAGCTAATTAGGAGTCTATTGTTAGGTGCATGAGCAGGATGAAGCCACCCAAAAACAAAATATTCTGCGATACAGGCACACTATCAGGCAGCGGATAAACAGGCGTACGTGCACACACAAACAGAAACACACTCAACAATTAGGTCGCATGCAAATCAGTCTCAGCACATGTGTGAGATGCGACAGGTAGAGAGAGTGAGGACAAAAGTACAGAGAGGGATTATTGAAATGAGCGAGGGTAGGAATCTCTAAATCAAAAATGAAGAAACAGAAAGGTTGATGACTTCCAGCGGAGACAGACGATGGAGGAAAACTGAGTCAGAGATGCTGTTTATTGTTTAAAGTGGAGTGGCAGCTGTAATGAGCTGACAATTATTCATATGTCAGTCACCCACACACACTTGAGATTGATTAAAACTTTCCCCGCACTGTCACTAAATCCCTCGTGTAGCATCTGTCATTGAGCGGCAGGATTTGTGTTGCAGCCTTCTTTCAAGAAGATGCTTCTTTATGTTTCAGCCCCATCGCTGTTGACTGATCCTCTTACTTTTCAGTGTGCTTTGACAGGTGAGACCACTGCAGACTGCCACTGAGAATCATCTCAGCCTCTTTGTCCCGAGTCAAAAACAACACAAACATGCAGTTGTGGGACTCTGGCTCACTGCGGTTGATTTTCCTCATCCTGGTACAAGATTTGAGTAGAACAAGATCTCAGCAGCGCTGCCCATGGGAGGGAGGAAGTAGACGAAGTATGGATGATTTCTAAAATGAGGAGTATGAAAGAGACAAGAGGAGAAAGTACACATTATAGTGAAGGTGGAACAGAACAAGGAGAGGTGGTAATGAGGAAGCAGGGAAGATGTATAGGTGAGAGGAATGGATGGAGTGAGGGTGAAAAAAACCAAACATCTTTTACTTTCCAAACACACATGCGACAATGCTTCAATGGCTAATAAGGTACAACAATGAATTTGTACCAAACCAAAAAGTAGAAGGAAATTGAGTTACTGGGGGAGATAGAGGGGGGGGGGGTATGGTACAGTTTAGAGCAATCCTTTAACGTGATCACAGCAGGGACAGACACGGGTGAGGAGAGGAGGCGAGGCGGGGGAGAGGGGGTGGTGAGGGCCTGCCAATACGGATAAATATTTCATCCCACAACAGAGAGAGTCACTGAGACTGGTGCCCAGAGGGGGAGGGAGGAGGCAGGAATGGGAGGGAGGGAGAGAGAGAGAGAGAGAGAAAGTCTGAGAGTGAAGGCGAGACAAAAAGCGAGAGAAGAGAGTGAGAGGGAAAAAAATAGAGAGAAGAAAACAGAAAGAGTGAGATGGGACAGCTGAGAGACAAAGCCAGGCCTGGGAGGTAAAGGTGTCCTTAACTCTCACATCCACTGTCTGTGATGCTAAGCAGTGCTGACACAAGACACACACGCACATTAACACAGACACACACACACACACACATTAACACAGAGACACACTCTCCTACATACTTAGATATGGTGTCGCAGACACTTTCCTATTATTGTCCTCTATTTCACAGAGGCCGAGGTTCCTCTCCTCCGACTGTGGACTGACACCTGGACTAGAAAGCGCTGGTGTGAAAAAGACAGAAAGAAAGATGTGCAAACAAATTCAGAAGAGGCAGCAAGAGACTAACACATAATTAAAGCCTGGATGAACACACCATGTGGAGGTTCAATATGAGCCGAGAGAAGAATAAAAGAAACTGGGGAAAGGGTTGTGAAAGTGTAGAACATAAAAGGTTGCACTGAGAGTGTGAATATTGCTCGTCTTTGAAGACATATTTGATTTTTGTCATTGTTTTAGTTAATATATTGAAGTATGTGGGCTGCCTAACATCACAACCATATGCGATTGTTTTTCAGCAACATGTCATTCCAAAACCGTGGTTATTTATACGCTGCTATAACGGCCTCCACTCCTCTGACAAGTCTGTCCACAAGATTTTGGAGCCCGTCTGCCAGGATTTACTTCGATTTAGCCACAAGAGCATTAGTCAGGTCAGGGACTGATGTTAGATGGTACAGCAAGGCCTGTCCTTATCCCAAATGTGTTAGATGGGGTTGTGGTCAGGTCATTCTCACCAACCTTAGAAAAACAAGCCTTTCTTTATCCCCCTGCTTTATCCATGCCACAGCAAAGAGCCTTCCCCAAACTGTTACCATAGAGTTAAAACCACAGTATATTGTTGTATACTGTTGCATTTAGATTTATTTTAACCGGAACTGCAAGGAGTTTAGTAAAAACCATGGAAAAAGCTTAAATATGTGACACACAGTGTCTGTCTCACATGCAGATCTCTGTTATTCTCCTGCTACGTTTATTATTTATCAGATTTTCGGGTTATTTTTTAAACTTTTTGTGTGCGGTAAGGGCAAGGCTTGATCGGCAAGTGCTATGTTTCCATCGGTCATTACTGGCAATTCCGGATGATTTCTAAAAATGACTGGATTGGTGTGATTTTCCTGACATACAGCCTACAGTATTTTCTTGTTTTTTCCTTGAGATGAGTTGCTTTTCCCATACTGGTGGGCAGAAACAAACAGAAAAAGATAGAGAATTATCTGTGTGTGTGTGTGTGTTCTTTTGAATTTGCATGTGTGAGTATTTTGTACATTTGTGTCAATCAAGCGGTTGGTCTTTTGGTTTGTGTTCCCTCCCTGGGGAGCAACTCTTCCTCATCATTAGTAATGAACCAGCATCGGTGAAAGGACCAAGCCACAGTCTCAGCCCAGAGAGACAGATGAATATTTGATCAGCCTTCCCTTCCCTTTGCTTGCGTGTGTGTGTGTGTGTGTGTGTGTGTGTGTGTGTATTTTTGAGAGAGAAACTGACAAAGCCCAGGAGGTCAGTGCAGAGTGTACAACTTTCCTTTTCTCATCTCCCCCCTGCCTCTTCTCTCCTTTTCTCACCTTCACCTCTCTCTACATCTCTTTTCACATCATTCCTTTCTCCTCAACCACTCTCCTCCGATGTGGTCCATTTTTGTCTCATAACACCTCTCCCTCTCCACCACTCGCTTTTACCATCTCCCCCTACTCTCCTACTGCAGGACTGTGCAGAGACAGAGGTGGACAGGAACAAGTGCTGTACCTTGTGTAATATGTTCTTCACCTCCGCTATTGTGGCCCAGTCGCACTACCAGGGCAAAACCCACGCCAAGAGAGTCCGCCTGGTGCTGGGGGAGCCGCCCAGTCTTCCCGCCGCCATGACCAGCCCGACAAACACAGGTATCTCACACCTTCTACCCGTCTCGCTGTCTGGGCTTGATTATTGCAACAAGACCAAACTCACACATCCAAACATGCACTGTTACCATAACATGACTGTTATGATGCGTTAAGGCTCTGTTCAGTGAAAATGAGTATTGGGCAAAGGACAATTGTAACATTATCACGATGTGTTCACTTGATATTGAATAAGCTTAAACAGTTGTTTGAGGGAGGTGTTTTCACAGCAACATAAATAGATATTAGAGAGTGAAGGATTTTGATGACCTTGTAGACAAGCTGCTATCACCAAACAACACAAAAAAGGGGATCTGTATCTACCAATATGGATAATCAATGAGCTGCAATTAGTATCGGCAGTAAAAATAAATAGCGGCAAAAGAAGTCGAGGGAGTGACTGAGTGCCAGTTGAGTTTTGGGGAAACAAAAAGAATAGAGTATTAATCTGATTCGTCGAGCTAGTTTGTCTTTCTTCTGGTCAGTCTTGAAAGGGAAACACGACATTTATAATCCATAAAACATCTGACGATAAACTGGTGCTTTGGTGATCGACCAACCCTTTCAGCCCCAGCCGATCAATACATCTATTGGATTCCAATCATGGTGTTTGCACACAGAGCCTGTCCTCCCTCAAGATCATGGTAGTTAACTTGGTTGGAAAAACACACCCTCACCTCTACTTGCACATGCCCATGTAATCCAGAGATCCAGTATTTGCACCATGTGTCACTGGACTGAGAATGATTTTTTTAAGTTCAAAGCATACATTTTTATCAGGAGTGGATTTGGAAAGCTTTAGTCATGCTTCAGTCAAAACGTGTAGCCTGGATATCAGGAGGAAAAGTCTGGTAATATAACATGCCAGAGGCCCAAGAAGTAAGACTTTGAAGGTGAAGCACATAAGCAGGAAACAAAATTGCATTAACAAATCAAGACATCTGTATATTCATTTTCTTTTTTCATGCTCATGATTGTTTAAGATTAGCTTTTTCTTTTTTTAAGTGTCAGTGCTGGTGACTCGTCTCCAGGGGAGCTGCATAATGTGATTGAAATTGGATTCAAAGTAGAAATTCACAGAGCTATAAACACACAATCGCTACAAAATGGAGTGTTATAAATAATCTAGCCCCTGAGTAATTTTGTTAAACTTTGGCCTACTTTGGAAAAGTGTCACTACAGTAGAGCTGTTGCCGTGGAGTTCTGTAGTTTTGTGACAGTGGAACCTGGAGGAAAAAGAAACGAGGGAACGAGAGCAAGAAGAGAGGACGAGTGACCTGGGAGAGAAGAAGAGGATTTCAGGAAAGATTAAAGTCAAAAGGAACCTTCACGATCACTCCGAGATGAGCGCTCTATAGAAGATGCACAGCTAAGCTGACAGTCTTATGCGCACATGCACACACACACACACACACACACACACACACACAATTGTCAGAAACATGCATAAGCAAGATGACTGATGCATGCACATTCATATTGGACATGCCCTTACTTGTAAGGACACATGAGTACTAACATACATGAGAAACACACTCAAAGATATGCACAAACAAACCACAGTGAGGTCTGAAGAAGCCCTTGAGAGGTGGAATGCAGAGACTGTACCTGTGTTCCCTCCCCTTTCACACATCACACACTCCAAACCACCTCCTCCTCCTCTTCGTCTTGCACACACACCATCACGCACACTCCCTGTGCCCCGGCTCCATAAAAAACACTTACTTCTGCTCCAGCGTGCAGAGATCACACTCATGGGAAACGAAAGGGCGGTGATACAAGGGATGGAGAGGAAAAATACACCCGAGGATCTCTTCTTGTTGCTGCTCAGCACGTGCTGCTCCACAGAGCTGTCAGGGCTCAGGAGCTTCACTCATGCACGGGCACACACGAGCACGCACGAATGCTGTCCCAGAGATTTTAGGATGGCCTCGTCTCTGAGATTAATATCAGGAAAACGAAATGACAGCAGAAGAGTCACAGGGTTGAGTTTTGTAAGTGAGATGATAGTGTGGCGAAGGCAGTGTGAGTGGGTGTGGTTGCTCAGATGAGCGGAGACACAGCCATAGATACAGTAACTATGTGAACAGAGCCCGAAGACACATCAAGGTATGAGCAGCCAATCAGCTGGAGCCTAGTCAAGACAGACACATACACCCCCAAAAAATACAGAAACTCACACACCTCACACTCATAGTCACGGGTCAACACTTCATGCTTGCTATTCATTCGCCATCAGTGAGCTAATGGTTGTTGTGAAAGAAGTGGCATGACTCATTTGGGCTTTAAAGCGTGTGTGAGTGGGCTTGTGTGTGCGATATGAAATGTTTAAACTTGCTGTATTGTGGCTGTGTGTGGTCATAGTCGTTGTAGCTCTAGAGCCATTGACACGTTGTACATGGCAAATTGGCACATTTGGAAGCGCCATCTGGCATTATGAGCTTTCTCACACCATTTGGCTGTGGACTTAACACCCCCTCACTGTGATCAAGTAAACAGTTTGGACAGAGTTGATTTCTTTGGTACATGTACTGTACCTTACACACACAAGCAGCCCATTCTGGAGCTTCATGCACACACACACACATGCACACACAGGTCTTCACACATTTTCTCAAGTGTGGATTATGCATTCAATCCGCCACACAAACACCCCCATGCACACACAGACACGTGTGCAGCCACACGCGCGTTCACAGTCTTCGCCGCGTGAGCCACAACCGTGTCCTGTGGACAAGGCAGTGCCTGTTGGCTATTAATGGGCAATCACCATGGTAACCAGTGTCGTGTCATAAGTAGCAGGTCACCTGGAAGTCTGCCTTTTTTTTTTTTTTTACATTCCCCAACAGAGAGGAAAGGAGAGTAGGTGAGGAGAGGAGATAAGAAAGAGGGTTTCATAAAAAAAAAAGTAGAAAGCACTTGCAGACTCGTCCCTGGAGTGCTGATGGCTTCCTCCCGACCCTCGTCTACGTTCCACAGATGTGGCCTGCAGCTATCTATTGCTCTTTGCTCGGTCTCCATTGTTACTTCCTAAACCCGGAGCTTTCAACGGGTATTTTACCTGTGTCTGTAAGAAAGACAGTGATCCATGTGAAATGTGAATGTTAATGAAAATATTGTAAATTGTTTTTCGTTTCATTTATGTAATTTTTGCCTTAAAACTCCAATAGCATTTGATTTCATGTTAAAATGATCACTTACTTCTCTCCTTCCCTTCCTCTTTCTGCAATCCCTCACCCCTCTTCTCTACCTCCTATCTGTTAACTCCACCCCAGATTCCTCCCCTTCCACCCCACTGCCCACAGACCCCGCTGCGTGCCCTCCTCCTACCCCTGACCTGGCTTGGCCCTCGGCAGTGGTCGGCGGAAACGGCGGAAGAGAGGCCGGGAAGTACTGCTGCCTGTGCGGAGCCTGGTTCAACAACCCGCTGATGGCCCAGCAGCACTACGAGGGCAAGAAGCACCGCAGGAACGCAGCCAGAGCACGCCTCCTGGAGCAGCTAGCGGGCAGTCTGGATGCCACGGAGAGCACAGGTCAGCCTCTTGGCCCCGAGCCCGACACAAGTGACAAGTGAAGGGCAGGAGGGGTGTTACGACTTTGTACCAGGAAAGACGATAAGGGGGAGATCACATTCAAGATCTGTGGCAGTGAGGGTGGACCTCTGAAATGTTCATATGCCTTTCAATGTGGTGTACATTTCACAGATATTATACTGAGGTAAGCCACACCACTTATTCAGAGAGAAAATGAGCACCCCCAGCCAGTTACTGTAACGATCAGCTTATTCACATTCCCCCTACATTTGTTCAAAAACATGGGTTCTATGTGGCTGGCTTCTATGTTTTTAAACCCCATACGCTTCCATGAAATCAGTCCGGATCAACCCCCTCTACTGTTTATATATACTGTAAAGAATTAATGTTCCACAGATGGTTGGAATGCATTCTTTAAATTTAGATGCAGAATTGTAAAGTTTTATAGTTCTGTCGAAGTCATAATATGAACTGAATTGAATATGGACTCCACCAATTTTAAACGTCAAAGTCTTTCTGTATGAAGTCTATAAAGTAATTTGTGGCCCAGAAGGAGCTTTGGTGACATTATCCAGATAGATCGGCTTTGGTTTGAAGGCTACAGATTGTTATTAGAAAGCGTATATGTAACAGATTGGGGAATGTCCTTTGAAAAGCGTGGGAGATTAGCCGGTTTGGGTCAAACAAGAAGACGCTGTCGAGTTGCATTATTGTGATTGTAGGAGCTAGCATGTTTGGTGCTTGACCTTTTACAAGGGACAGCAGGGACGGACTAAGTCAGTGACTCGGCATCTGCTGAATCAAATTGCTTCTTTTCAATCAGAGCCCAACTTTAATACTAAATCATTAGAGTACTCTTTGAAAGGTATTTACTGGGTAAATGATTTCAAGGGTTGGACCCTAAGGGGAAGATTTAAGTAATCTATCACCCCAGGCAAATAGTTGTCGCTCCCTAATTAACTGTGTATATCAGCCCAACTGACATTTTGACACATCTTGGTTTTCGTATCTGTTTGCAACAGTCTAACATTTCCATGCGAGTTGTCTGGGGTCACAGTTCCGTTAGCATAGCCGTGCTTCTTAGTGCTAGCACAGCAATGTGTTAAACTGACAAAGAAAGTAACGGGGCCTCTGTTAGTTAGCATGCTGCATATAGCATGCTTAGTGCAGCTAAAAAAGTAAATATTTCACATTAATGCTGAAGGGTGAACATGAGTCCCAGCCTGACAAAATCAGGAACTTAAGTAAAGGATTAAACTGAAATGATGTCTTAATGTACATTATTAAATGGTAGAATTTAGATCAAATTACAGTTATCATAGCGAGTCCTGGGTTTTAATTACTATTCTATGTCTTTCTCTCCCCCTTAAGTCCTTTCCTCTCCCACACAAACACTTCCAACCACAAATGTAGCAGTAAGAGAACACTGATTCACATTTCATACACACATTTCTGCCAAAAGGGTATTCTAATGTAAATATTAATAGTCTTTGGCACAGAAAGCGCTTTTCCTTCTCTGGTTCCTATAAGTGATATCGGCCAACGTCATCCTGTTGCGTCACGCAGCCCAACATGCAACATCGGTGCGACACAGCACCTCCACTGCGCACGCATTCAAGTTCAACACACTCGTATACAGCTACAAACAAATATGGAAATCCCCTGTGAGCCGAAGCCGCGCCGTTCGCTTTGTGCTCCAGGTGCCATGACACAAACCATCATCTCAAAAAGCCAATCATATTAACAGCATGAGTCACGTTGCCGCCTACACTGGCTCAAAGGCTTTAAGTGGTGTCACGTTGTATATCGTCCTCCATCCACACACTGTGACCCACATCCTTTTTTGGGAGGTTTTAAATCTAAATCTCAGCATTTAACTACAGAAGACATCTAAAATAATAACAGACACATAAAAGTCAAGATATTCCTTTTGTTCAATCAAATATATTTGCACTCAGTGACGCTCTACTGCAAAATCAATCCGGTCTTCTTTTCAAGGGCAATGAACTGGCTTAAGATTTCTAAGTGAGCTCGCCGCTGACGCGCTCTATTATATGTGCCATCAATCAAGTGTTTGTTCTGGCGCATTTAGTCTGAAACACTTTGCTCATCCCAGTGCAGCTCCATTGTCATATGTCGTTTGTTCTTCTTCAGTCAGACACATTGCATTGGTGCAAGATTCTCACATGGGATTGGCTTTTATCACCACTTCAGGTATGAGGTCACGGGTGTGCCGGGTGTAATCTCAGAGGGAGGGTCCAAGGCGAGGCTGCAGCTGAGCTAAGAGAGGAGGGGGGGTATGAGGAATTGTGTGTCAGTCAAATGCAGATTTGTCTCTGTCCTTTTGGCCTCCTTTTCTAGTTGCAGAACTGTTTTCTCTTTACACTTTTGTTTATATTTTCCCACCCCCTTCCTGCTGCTGTACTCTCTTGTGTCTGCTGTTACTGTGGTTGTATTGTGTGAAAATGTGTGTGTGTGTGTGTGTGTGTGTGTGTGTGTGTGTGTGTGTGTGT